TTACAACCAGGAAAGAAATATGTGGTGCAGTTTACATAGGCTTCTGCGAAATATAATCTAATCTGAAGAAATAATTTTGCCTAATTGGAAAAAACTCTAATCTAATCTAATCTTGATCAATTTAAATTTAATCTCACCTAATTTGAGGACACACAAATTTAGTGCAATATAATGTAATCTGGGGAAACTTTAATCTATTCTAATCTAATGTTATCAGTTCTAAAATGACTAAATCTAAAATATTTTTGGATCATCCAGAATATAATTTAATCTCAAAAGATTTGAGATCTCATAAACAAAACAAATGTAATCCCAGCTGGTCTCTAAACAAATCAGATTTAATCTGACAGCGATTGGTTGCAGTCATCCTAATCTGGTTCCAGTTTGCAGATTAAGATTATCTTCTGGATGTTTTAGGAGCTGAAGGAGATGCTGGAGAAACATCGCAGCCAGAACGAGGCGTGGCTCCGGGCGAGAGCCGAGGAGAACGACCGGGAGAGGCGGGAGCTCTGCAGGCTGCGGGTCAGACATCTTCATTCAAACTCTGTTTTCATTTCGTTTTATTGTGGATTTCCTGTCCGTCTCCTCAGGAGGAGATTCTGCAGGACCAGGAGAGGCTGAAGGAGGAGCAGAGCAGCGTCCAGAAACGCAGCGAACATCTGCTGTCCATCATGCAGCAGTTCAAAGGAATGTAGAGAAATCATCAAACATCATCAGAATGGAAATTAGTTGACCAAGTTTGTTTGATTCTGAATAAAAACGTTGAAAAGTTTGTGTCAAAACAAAGATGGCGTCTGTTGGGTTGAATAATAATTACACTGGAAGAGAAGGAAGCTGAAATTGGTGAAAACATGAGTAATAATTTAAAAATTACTGATTCAATAAATAGAAAACAAAAAACTGTCATGTTTGATGTTGAATGGAAAACCCAGCAGTCAAACTCCTCTGCCTCCTTTCTGAGCTCATACTCAAAAACAACCAATCAGAGCCAGGAGGAGGGTCTTGGCGCTGTCAATCAGGCTCATGTACGTGGCTCTCAACCTTCTCTGTTCACCGGCCTGTCATGAATAAAGCCAGTTAGTGTGATCACAGATAAATGACTTTCTAGGAGCGGTAAATTGTTTCTCCATTATTAGCATACTGAGCAGCGCATACATGAGAATGATTGGCAGCGCTAAGACCTTTGTGGTGTGTTTCTGCAGACTAACAATAACTGAAGGAGGAGCTTGAGGTTTCCATAGATTATTATGCTTATTTTAACAAATATGAACAAAAAATACATAATTTTAATGAAAGTTTAATTGTGCAGCTTTAGAAATATTTTCTGAAGGGAGGAAACTGGGAACAAACTGAGACTTTACTGAAAGAAAATCATGACTGATGTGGAAAAGATGCTTTATGTTTCAGAGTTTGGATTCTGCAGGAAAAATGATCTTAAACAAAAATCAGACGTAAGGAACAGTTTTAAAAAATGGATTTAGTTCAGTTTGGTTCTGTTGCAGTAAATCAGTTTTAATGTTTAACAAGCTGCAGTTCAGTTTTACATCTTGATTTATGGAGAAAAAATGAACATTTCCCTCAGATTTTATGGATCATTCCAACATGATTTGCTTCATAGGAGAACAAACGAAAACATTTCCAGGTGGACATGTCCCCTGTCTGTCTGTCTGTCTCTCTCTCTCTCTTTATCTCTCTCTTTATCTCTCTCTCTCTCTTTATCTCTCTCTCTCTCTCTCTCTTTATCTCTCTCTCTCTCTCTCTCTGTCGCATTAAACCGAAGGACGGATCACTATTTAGCAGGGAAACGCAGCGTAATGCGCCAGTCCGGGTTCTTGTGTTTCCTCTCGGTTGCACTATTTGGCAGCAGGCAGCAGGGGCGGAGAGAGGGAGGCAGAGGGAGGGGCGTCAAGGGGCCGGCACCACGACCGGAAGTCCGCTCAGCGAACCAAAAATAAAAGGAGTTTCATTAAATAATGCACATGGAGACCTAAAACTGCAAAATACATAAATAAATAAACAAACAAACAAACAAACAAAAAAAAAAAACAGCTGGAATCACAATAACTGTTGAATATTAATAAAGCAAAAACTGCAAAGTCCTTGACAACATTATGAACTAAAATAAACTTCCACAGATCTACAGAGATGTGGATTTTATGGTTATGATTTTACTCAATGGGAATTTACTGCAAACTAAATATGAATCAGTTATTTTTCATTTATGAAGAAAATATCCTAAACTTACCAACTGCAACTGAATATAATGCAAATTAATTAATTATTCTGATGGAACAAAACAGGAATCCAGCACTTAATGATAAAAATGTGTCAAAAAATGTAAAATAATTTTTATTATGAGTAAATCATGTAACAATGAATATTCTAAAAAATAAATTCAGTGGGGGATTTTTTTAAAGTTGAAAATCAGCTGTTTTCAAACACAATTGTTACCAAAAAGTTAAATGATCTTTTTCTAATTAAATAAAAACTACCAGATAGATAGATAGATAGATAGATAGATAGATAGATAGATAGATAGATAGATAGATAGATAGATAGATAGATAGATAGATAGATAGATAGATAAAAAAACATGTTAGAATAAAATATATTTTTAACAAACTAAATTAAGATGGAATTGTTTCAACTAGAACAATGTATGTGGAGACACTAATTAATGTTGATATTATTAATATTTATAGATTTGACGGCGTTCTCGGCGGCCTGCGGTTTTATTTTGAAAGGCTCGGCCGGAAGCGTGGCGCCGCGCTGCCTCCATCTTGACCGCTGGAGGTGCGATGGCCGTGAAGTGTCTCTGGTTCCTGTGAAGTCGGAGAGGCGGGAGGCCCGGAACCGAACCGAACCGCTCCGTTCCCCGCCGGTTCTCCTTCCTTTATCCCGGGTCACGGTAAGACCGGAAGGAGCGCGCGCCCGGCCGCCCGCCCGCCCGCAGGTAAACAACCAGCAACACACGGAGCGTTCGTTTTGTTGGCTGCCTTCTCCCGCCGAGGGGGAGGGGCGGGAGAGGCAGCAGACAGCCGGAGACCGAACCCAGCCCGCGGCTGTCTGCCCGGCTGGGACAGCCCCGGTCCCGGGTTGGACTCCGGGACCGTCCCGCTGCGGCTGAGCGGACAGCGGCGGGGGTCCGCCCCCTTTCCCCGCCGATCCGTTAGAAATGGGCTGAGAAGATAAAGGGAAAAGGCGAGCAACATGGCTGACGCTGGCCTGCTGCAGAAGCTGCTTTTCATTCTCTGCAGACATTCATGATGAAAGATCACATTTTAGCACAAAGCAGCTGCTGCCTTTTGGCTTTCACAATGAAAATGACTGCAGCACAACAAACACAACAATGAAAAGACGCAGGTTTCAACTCAACGCCTTCCTCAGACCGATGCAGTTTGGTGCATTGTCACATTCAAATGCAGCAGTTGGAGCAGGAAAGAGTTGTTGGGTTTGAATGTTTGGGAACCAGAACCGGAACTGGGCGGCCTGGTGTCAGAAACCTGCAGGTCAGTCCAGGTGAAGCGGCTCCGGCCAATCAGAGAGCAGAAGACTCACTGACAGGAAGTGAAGCTTCATCTCCCAAACGCACCAGGGATGAGCCAATAGCAGACAGACTCCATTTATTAAACATTAATCCAAATGTTTCTGCTTAAAACTTCTAACATATGACATAAAAAACGTTTCACATCCAGAAATATCAGCTTTTTGAATATAATGCGCTTTCACCACTTGAATTTGTCCTTCCACTCAACTTTCCACTCTGACTGTCTTTCTTTGTGGACTGCTCTAGGATTTGTTGGACATAAAATAAAACTTCTGTATCCAACAAAATTTCTCAAATCTAAATTTTATGTGAAACGAATCCCTAAATATGGATTTAATGTCATCTTTGAATCACAAACTTTTCTCAATTGATTGATTGAAAATCTTCTTTTTGTTTCTGTTTAAACTTCTGCTTTCGTTTCCCTTGAACAATAATTATGAAAATGAACAGAAAGAAACTGAAACAGTTCAGTCTGTGTGAGATTCAGAGGTTTTCAACATAGGGGCCCCGGGCCCTCAGGGGGCCGCAGGGACTTCATGCGGGCTGTGAGATTTCTGATTAGACATTTTTAATATATATATATTTTTAAAATTGCAGTCAGTCTGAATGATTCTTTTGGTCCATTTGGGTTCAGGCTGCCTGACCTCCTGCTGCAGGTTTAAACATCTGGAGTCTAAACTTTGGGACTTTGCAGGTCTTTGACTAGGCCATTCAAACTCATGAAGAAGTATTGATCTAAACCTTTCTAGTGAAGCTCTCTGGATGTTTTCTTGTCAGCTTTCTGATCCATGCTGAACCCAAAAAGGCTTTCCTGCAGCATGATGCTGCCACCGCCATGCCCCACCATGGGGTTGATGAGCAGCTTAGCTTGTTTTTTTTTTTTTTTTTGCCGTTTTCTGAATTTTGTGAAATCGATCTTTTCTACCTCTGCAGTGAAAGAGGTTTGACTGTTGGTTCCGCCCACCAGGTCATGTCTGCAATAGTTGCCCGGCTGTTGCCAACTCAGCAGAGTTGTTGCTGTACTGAGCAACATTTTGGACAAATGGGTCGGTGTCGTCCAGAATCGGAATGGGTCGATCAGGCAGGTGTTCGGTTAAAGTTCTGCAGTGGTTAAAATGATTTTCTGCCAGATCCTGCAGTGATGATTCATCCTGAGAACCAATCAGATGTGAAACATGTGCAGCTCAGATCCACATGTTTCATGTTTTGTGCTCCTGCATGTTGCTGAGGAAGGAGGTCGTAAAGAATCGGGTCGTAAAGAATCTCGTTGTCTCAGATGAAGTTCTGATGGACTCGACTCGTTTGGAAACTGCAGGGCGACCTGGCAGAACCTGGCAGAACCTGGCAGAACCAGATCCAGTCCAGATGTTTCTCTGCACAGACTCTTACATCACCGGTACCGACCGTAAATCTCGGGCCGCAGTCGCTTTGTTTGTCCAGAACCGAGCCGCGGCGGCGCTCCTGCTGCGGTCTGAGGTCGGCTGGAGGTGGAAGCGTTTGGCGCTCCGACCCGGTTTGCGTTTGGTTTCACGGTGACGTTCGGCATCAGCTGATGACTCAGCGCGTCGCCCGGCCCGCCTGGAGGAAAATCACCAGCAGCTGTGACCCATTTCTGCAGAACCTTCTGAGGTTCTGGTCGGCCAGGAATGCGTTTGAGGTTTGACCATCTCCTCCGCTGGAAAAAAACAAGTTTGTCATTCAGCTTCAGCAGGAATAAAGGCTCCTTCTATCCCGCCTCTCTTAGGGCCCAATCGGGTCGAGCCGTTTGGTTCTGGTCTCTTTAAGGGTGAGCGGATCCGGGTCCAGGTGTTACATAACACCGACCTGCAGATAAATAATACAGTCAAATCTCCACTGATCAATAATGAAGGAAGTTTTCCCCTCTAGGTCCAAACCCGACATCAGCCTCGGCTTCAGAACCTCATCAGGTTCTGTTAGAGGGACCGTTGGACCGCTCGGCTTCTGAGACATTAGAATCAAACACATTATCAAAGATCAATGAAATGTAATTCTGATGAACATTTAAAATATCCAAACAATAAATAAACAGAATCATAAAGTTTAAACTCAACAAACTCAAAACTTTTAGCCTCCAGTTTTTGGTGGGAAAAGAGAAAAACTATAGTTTGAATTTCACACCTTCACTTTCTTTGAAATGTGTTGAGAAACATTTTAAAATCACCAACATGTTAGTTTGACCTGAAGGCTGCTGGAATCAGATGTTTGGACTAGGCCGCTGGTTCTCTGGGACATTTTATGGAATCTGGAAAACCAAACATTCCTGTTGGGAATATCTGATAAACTCAAGTTACGTGTTCATTCTGATCCAACCCGAGTCTGGAGCAGAAACTCTGGGTTCTGTTTTGTGGTTTTCAGGATTTTTAAAGCTGATTGTCGTCCAGAAAGTCGCAGATGTTTTTGTTTCTGAGCTGCAGCTCAGATTTAAAAGATTCAATGTTTTGTGTTTTCCAGGTTTGATTCTGATTCAGTCCAGGAGCTGAAGGACGAACGGCTGCATCGACTCTCCTGCTCCTGAGATCAGGTAGGACTGGATCAGTCATGACCTTTGACCTCCGGAGAGAAACTTCCAGCAGGATTATTTAGATTATTTAGTCTCTGTGGTTCCAGACCTGGAGACCCGGTTCTGGTTGTAGCCCAGTGGTGAGGCAGCCCGGCTGCCCCTCTGCCTCCAGATGAATGAAGAGCCCACCGGGGCACAGGGACACAGCTGATGCAGGTCACTGGCTGACACACACACACACACACACACACACACACACACACACACACACACACACACACACACACACACACCATGGTTCCATCAGAGGAAGTCCAGTGGAACCGGAGGTTCTGATTGGTTCCTTGTTCTCTCTCTCAGGACATGCAGGTGTTTCTGCAAACATGATGAAGAAGAAGAATCCACACAAGTGAGTAGAAGCTTCCAGCCTCCCAGTTCCCCGTCTGACTGGGGGAACCGGGCTGTTAACCGGTTCTGTCTGCTCCTGCAGAAAGCATAAGAGCAGCCTGGGCCCGCCCACCAAGGTTCTGTCCCAGCCGCGGCGCAACATCGTGGCTGCAGGATCCAGCACATCTGGAAGGACGGGGCGGGACACGTGGTGTGGAAGGGGACGGTTCTGGATCAGGTGATCTGGTTCGACCCGCCGGTCAAACACGCTGCAGAAGCTCTGAGGGCTTTAAACTAGTAGAAGAAGTTTGGATCATTTCTCTTACAAATAAACAAATGGCGCCGCCACCATATTTGTTTATTTATTTGGCTGGATGACCAGCGGCGCCCTCTGCTGGATGGCGGCCAAACTACAACAATAAGAGAAGTCTAAGCAGTTAGTTAATCGATTGGAGCTGATTTTTAGTCTAATAAACCATTATTGCACGAGTCCTCTGATTGTTTTACTTGACAGATTTCAGGGAGGTTTGCTTCTGGAGATGAACCAACGTTTGTTTCCACCAGGTGCCGGTGAACCCGTCGCTCTCTACCTGATAAAGTACGACGGGTTCGACTGCGTTTACGGCCTGGAGCTGCACAAGGACGAGCGGGTTCAGGGCCTGGAGGTTCTGCCCGACCGACTCGGTGAGAACCAGCTGAGACGGAAAAACAACACTGCAAAAACGTTTTGCATTTTGTACTGTTTATGTTTCCATATTTAAATTTTTTCATTCAGTTTTTCTCCATAACTGATCAAATCACAAAACATTTATGATGTGAAAAAAAACTAAATTTAATGCATTAAAAAGAGTTACTTTAGATACTGATACTATAATTACCAAGTTATTTAAGCCCTTTAGCATTAGCTGACATTAAATACTGCATTGTTGCTCTTTAGTGTTTGCAAAACTAAATACTATGTTGTTTTAGGACTTTAATGTTAATTAAGTATTATTTGCTGTAGCGCTTTAGCATTAGCTTCTGTTAAGTATCATAATGTTTTATTGTTAGCAGAACCAACGTTTAGTGCTTCAGGGTTAGCGCCGCTAGCTTTTTCGTTAGCTGCTCTGACGTTTCAAGAATAAACCTGGTTTTGTGTGAATTGCCTTCATTGTGTCTCTTGTAAAGAATCTGGAGCTGAATCTTTTGACCGAAGCTCAGAGACAGACTGCTGTGTCTCTTTTGTCCACAGCGAAGTCGCGCCTGACGGACGTCAGCCTCGCCGACGCCATGATCGGGAAGGCGGTGGAGCACATGTTCGAGACGGAGGAGGGCCCGAAGGAGGAGTGGAGGGGGATGGTTCTGGCCCGCCCCCCATCATGACCACCTGGTTCTACATCACCTACGAGAAGGACCCGGTTCTGTACATGTACCAGCTGCTGGACGACTACAAGGAGGGCGACCTGCGCATCATGCCCGACTCCAGTGAGTCCGCTCGCATTCGGTGTTTGGGAGCGCGTTCGGAGTGCGTTGAGGTTAACGTGTCGCTTGGCGTTTGCAGACGACGGCGTCCCGGCGGAGCGGGAGCCCGGCGAGGTGGTGGACAGCCTGGTGGGCAAACAGGTGGAGTACGCCAAAGAGGACGGCGGCAAACGAACAGGCATGGTCATCCACCAGGTGGAGGCCAAGCCGTCCGTCTACTTCATCAAGTTCGACGACGACTTCCTCATTTACGTCTACGACCTGGTCAAGACTTCGTAAAGACTCTGCGGACGGCGCCGCCCCGACGCGACGGAGCGTTCAGAACCAAGCAGCTGGAGCCGACGCGTCTGAAGCATTAAACACGTTAATCCATCCAAGATCCAAGACAAAAACACGGAGGTTATTCCCAGGGGATGAAGGCGGAGTCAAAACCTTTGGAGAAAATGATCATTTCATTTCCGTTCACTTTGGTTGTTTTGAGGCCGTTAAACCTTCCAGGATGAAGAAACGTTTACTTTTTTAAATTGGGAAAGAACCTTGAAGGCGTTTTGTTGAGACAAAGCAGATCCATGTTCTCCTCCATAGTCGCCGACTCTTGGAAAAAAAGAAGTAAAACCTGAACTTTGTTGATTTCCAGGGAAAAAAGTTCTCTGATCAAAAAAGACAAGAAGAAGAAGAAAACTGGAGTTCTGGGAATGAAGGAGTTACGCTGTTTGGACTCTTTAACTCTGTTCATCATCCTTTTTAATCAAGAAGCATATATGGAGGCCCATTTCTGCCAAAAATAAAACCAACATAATTAGAAAATGTTAAAATCGTACCATGGATCAGTATTATCACCTAGAGAAATTAGTTTAAAATATCTAAGAAAATATTTTACCTGTTTTTAACAGTTTAAAACTTAGAAATTAATCAATTAGCAAATTAATAAACCCTCACCCCAATGTTGTTTTTTGAGAATAGAAAACTTGATGTTGGGCCTATATCTCAAATTTTAGCTCATTGCATTTTTTTGAGATTCCTTTTTCACCGCATCAGAAATGTGATTCAGTGCAAAAATTTTTCTAAAAAAAACCAAAAAGCCGCCGAGTCTCAGATTAATAACGGACAGGAAGCATCAAAAACATCCATCAAACCTCTGAGATAAAGAAAATAACATCTGTAAACATCAGCCTCCACATTTCCTGACGCCCTGGTCGCTGCGCCGCGCCGGATCAGTCCGAGCTGTTTTCTCTGAGAGGCAATTTTTATTCCAAACATTATAATTAAATGGTAGAGAAACTGGCCCACAGCATCACAGATCCTCCACCGTACTTGACAGTTTTTCTCATTTCATCATTTGTTTCATAGCAGAAACATCCTGGACTGTTTGCTGCTGAGGAGCAGAAGCTGCTTTTTCACTACAAATATTCTGCTAAAGGTAAAAAACGCAATTAAAATAAAATCACATGAGAATAAGTTCAACACAGTCATCCTAAAACTACTTCCTGTTGTCACCTTCTTGGTTTCCACCAGTAGCAACATCCTGTTGTTGATCGCGTGAGTCGTGGAGCAAAAACTTCTTTCTGTTGCATTTTGCAAAATAAACCATTTTTCATTCAAAAATCCCCCTGCCAGCACAAAAACCTTTTACTGAAAAACAAGAAATTTGTTTCTTCGAAATAAATTAATTTTTGAAATAGTAAATTTCACAATTACATGTTTAATGGAATGCAGCTACTGTCCTGCACATCTGGAGAACCAAAACTTTGTTTTAAATCAAGACTCTTTATGTGACCGGATCAAATGTTGAGTTTTTCAACAGTTGTTACTGAAATGCCTTCATTTCTTCACCAGGGCCAGAAACTGGACAGAGCTCAGCGTTTGTGTCAAACAGTAGCTGGACATGTTGCTACAAAACTGGGGGAAGTTTTAAACGTCCAGCTGTTGTACAGATAAAACCAATCAACCGTTTTTCATCCCATAATAATACAGGCTCAATGTCACAAGTATTCAACATCCAGAGAAAAAAGTCAACAGCTTTTAGTCTGAAGACAAAACTGTGAAGAAAAATGTGGCTTTTTGTATGTTTTTGTTTTTGATCGATGCCAAAAAAAAGAAAAAAAGGAAAGTCCTTTTCTTGTCGTTCAGTTTGTTTGGTGTTCAAAATGATCGGACAGCTTTTTCTTGTGATTTCACTCAAGCCTTTAAATTTGATCGTGTTTGTCTTTTCGAAGTCGTCAATCAAGGAGCGATGGACGGGAAGGAGGAGGAGTTTGGAGATTTGCCCATTTTCTGTCATTTTGTAGTTTCCTTTTGACTCCCGTTGGGAGACGGGATGATTCTGGATGATTCTGGGATGATTCTGGATAATTCTGGATGATTCTGGGATGATTCTGGATTATTCTGGGATAATTCTGGATGATTCTGGGATAATTCTGGAACATTTTGGGCTCCTAAAGTCAGGAATGAAAGGAGAAACAAATCAGCTTTGAAGATGAAAATAAGAAACATTTGGATTTTTTTGTTTTTGCTCTACAACTAAAGTAGTCGTGATTTATCGCAGCATAAACCTGGACATTCAGCAGGTTTTATTTAAATCGTATAATAAACACCCACTGAAGGTTTAAATTTGTTTTTCACTAATGTGCTTATTGTTTTACTTTGGGTTTAGTCCAGACTGAAGGTTTTCCATAAACTGGTTTTCTGGCTGGCACAAACTTCATTTTTCTCATCTTTCCACTGATTTATTCCCTCAGCAGATTATGGGATGTCTCAATCTCACTGACAACAGTAGCAAAAATGCAGAAAGGCACCTTAAAAATGCAATTTAATTTCCTTCACCATTTCAAATATATTATTTATGTTTCTCAACAGAAATATCTTGTATATAAAATGTACATCCAGATTTCAGATACCAAACCATTTATTCTCTGTGAGCTTCATTATAACATATAAAATCATTTTATTTTGTACATATTAACCTGTTATATTCCACAACAACTAACTCATTTCTTCTATATGCATTATTTTATTTTGTAGTACCTCTCATTGTTATTACTGTAAAATCTCAACGGTACTGCTGAACAACCGTAGCATTTAGCATAACTGTCATAAAAAGTTTTCAGTATGCTAAGATATAATTTGGTTTTGTTAATATGAGGAGAAAGAAGCTCCATGTTTATGTTAATTTAAAAAAGTACTGTGGCAAAAACTCATGCATATGTCTACTTAGCACATGCTAAATAGCATCTTGCTAGTTAGCAAATGCATGTTAGCTTTAATTTTTTTTATTTGAATTACTATATACATACTGAACAATCACAGAGTTAACAAAGTGTAGCTGCAGTGGTTTAAAGCTAATGGTATATTTTGATGTAGGCTAGCTAGCATATGATTTAGAGGTCTATGGTACTATATAAATGCTAAGTTAAGCTAATTAGCCATATGACTAGCTTGAGTAAAATGACGCTCTGCCTTTTATCTAAATGAGATCTGAACATTATAGCATCATGCAAGTTAGCTTAGCATTTCTCTCAGTGTTAATCAGTGACGACAGATTTGACATGAAAATCACGTTTTTACTATGGAGATTTAAATTGTTTTCATTTTTATGTCATTTGCTAATAAAATTTTAATATTGTACTGTTTCCAGTCGTCTGACACATTTTAAAGATTAATTCTCATCTTTGAGATATAGACGTGACGTTATTTTTATTTTTTGACAGTTTAAGAGGTTTAATTTGGTAAAATGAGCATTATGTCCAAGTTAATTTTAGCTAATTACGTTATATGCTATGTGTTTGTATAAAACTGCTGACAGAAACAAGACTGAGTCCAAATACTTTCAAATGGTTCTTGTATAGAAATCAAAGTCTCTCAGATCCGAACGTCCCTATAAAAATCTACCAACACGACCTTTTAACCTCAACAGATCTCAAAATGTTGCTAACGGTTTAGCTTTGGACTTTCATTTGTATTTTTATTGCCAGTATTCACAAAATCCTCAGTAAATCACAATATAAACTTGTCACTGTTGAACTGTTAGTTTGGGGGAAAATTTGGTGCCTTTTTTGGTTGGACAGAAAATGGTGGCGTATGTAAAACCTTCAGTGTGAGTGTTCTCCTGACGTAATTACTGAGGCAGAAAATGGCTATTATTCCATCTGTTCTTATATATGTATAGAAAACTATTGTCACAGTGACCGTTGGGTCTCTGACGCTGTGCAGCTGTTTGGTTTTTATGAAGCATATGACTGTGATCATCTCAGCAGGACACTGTTTTAATTAGCAATCACACCACCGGGTCGTCGCTGAGCTGTGCTTTCGGTTGGTTTAGCTCATTTTGCTGTTTGTGATTTCAAACTATTGTGGTCATTGTTGGAGCGATTTGGGCCTTCCATCATCCTTCTGCCTTGTAATATTTGTTTTTGTATGTTCAAATATGTATGTTGATAATTTTTATTGTTAATGGACAAACTTACACTGTGTGCTTTGTCTTTCTTTCATTTAATCCAGATTACATCACATGTTAATTTGGATTAAAATTAACTAAATATAGTTTAGTTAGTCAGAACTAAACAGTTTTTTACCCATTATGGGTGTAAACTGTTGAGTTTCTCTGATGTCTTGACTGATGAAAAAAGCCCAGATCATCATGCTTTCTCTGCCGTGCAGTAAGCTGCAGAAACTCCTGATGTTTTATCAGTGCTTACGCTGATGATCATGTAATGAGCTTCAAAAGCAAATTTTTGTTAAACGTGTTAACTTGTTATACTGAGGTAATTGTTTTTATTTGGAGTCATATTGGATATTCAACAGCCTTTTGGATTAAAAAAAAAAATCTAAATCGCTAAATTAAATTTCTTCCATTTAAGAAAATGTTGGAAATAAATCAGTTATGCATGGTTACTTTATTGTTTAGTAATTAATTAAATGTGAAATTGATTTAATTTGTGAAAGGCATTTTAAAGTTGCTTGACTTAATTTAACGGTCATTAATCTCATTTAACATCTGATTGGTTAACATGATCAGCACTAATTAAGACTCATCACTTTAACTGGAACTTTGAGCTGGCAGATATAAATCTATGATGCACTGCAGGAACGATTCATTTCATAGTAAATGAATCTGTAACTTCCAGAATCTGATCTTTTACCTACAAAAACAAAAGTCACTTTTTCCCCACAAAACACCAAAATATGTTTTTTCTGACAAATTGAAAAACCGTAGCAGTTGTCTGTTTGGACCATTTCCACTGAGCGTATCAACGTGTATTTGTTGCTTCAACCAAATACACAAAATGGGTAATTAGAAGCATTTAAATATTCATTTTCTATAAACATTGGATTTTTCTTTCTTTCTAAACAGGCATCAAATTCACAACAATATTAATTTGTTTTTAACGTCTGAAAGTTTAACATAATTAAACAGGATGTTTTTGGATTAAAAGATTTGATTTTTAAATGAGTTTTTTTCCTTCCATTGATGCAGAAACCGGTGATATTGTGAAAAGTGACGATGTGAAGCCCAGGCGGTTCACTGAAGAGGCGGCCAGCAGGCTCCTGGTGGAATCACATTTTATTCAGTGCAGTTTCAGCAGGAGGATTTCAGATGCAGAACAAACAAACTTTCCTCTTGAACCAGAAAACCGCTGAGGGGAAATAACTTTATGCAGAATAATGACAGAAACAGTAATAACCAGAAAGAAGGAACATTCATTTCTGCAGCTTCTACTGCACATAATAATTATATTTTGGTGATTAAATCCTACGTTGAACCATAATTGCCCTTTAAACCTGAACTATTGTTTCAATGCTTGGATCGTGAGCCTGAATCTGTTGTTTATCTGCTGAGCGTCAAACATGATCCGCCTGAATGTTTCATCGACTTTCTTTCACTTTGACACGTAAGACATGAAAACTAAGAACTGCTGATGTAGCATGCAGCGACTCGTATGGGCTGCAGGGGGCGCTACTGTGATCCGGGGCGTGGTCTGAGTGGGTGGTGCGTTCAGGGCCGGCGGCGGTGCGTTCAGGGCCGGCAGCGGTGCGTTCAGGGCCGGCGGCGGTGTTCAGGGCCGGCAGCGCTGGATGAAGCGCGGGTACAGGCAGACGTCCCGGATGTGGTGTCGGTTCAGCAGCCAGGTGAGGAAGCGCTCCAGGCCCAGACCGTAGCCGCCGTGGGGACACGAGCCGTACTTCCTCTGCAACGCCGGAAAACCGGGTCAAGTTGGAGCAAACCGGTCAAACACGGCAAGCGGCCGACGCTCACCTGGTCCGTGTACCAGTAGTACGGCGTCGGGTCGATCCCCTCCCTCTTGTATCCCTCCAGAAGCTCGTCAGAGTCCCAGATACGCATCGAGCCGCCGACGATCTCCCCGACGTTCGGCATCAACACGTCCACCTGGGGGCGACGGCGAGACACTCAGGTTCTGTTCAGGTTTCTAACCCGTCTCCTTTCTCTGGCCTTACCGACTCAGTGAGGCGCCGGTCCTCTGGGCAGCGCTGCATGTAGAAGGATTTGATCTCGGCCGGGAAGCGGCAGAGCAGGATGGTCTCGTTGATGCTGTCGGTCATCAGCCTCTCCGGAGCTTCAGGGATGTCCTGAGAAAATGAAACATTAAAGCTGCATCATCAGAGCCTCCTGGTGGAGGGAAAACACTGGAATCAGAGCAGACTGGGACAAACTGAGTCAGACTGAGTCAGTCTCAGTCAGGATGTGCTGCGTTTCGTCCTCACCTCTCCAAACTCGTAGTAAGTCCCGTCATCCTTCTTCACGTCGTGCTCTCTGAGCCACTCGATGGCCTCGGTGTAGTTCATCCTCCTGAAGGGTCTCTTTGGAGGTTTGAAGTCCTGGAAAACACAGGAATAAAACCCGACTCTAGAGACGGCGTAACAATAAGCTAGTGGAGCCGTGGTTCTGATTGTGACTCCGGTCTCGTACCGGGTTGATGTCGTAGAGCAGCTGAGCAGCGGGAGACCGGAGGACCCGGTCCACCACATCACAGACCAGATCCTCCAGTCGGGTCAGCAGGTCCTCAAAGGAGATGAAGGGACACTCGGCCTCGATGTGAGTGTACCTGAGAAAAGGATAACACAGACT